GGAGACATAGCCAAAGAGCAAAAATCACGGGTTTGGCGGGGAGCCAGCCCCATTGCAGCCAGTGCGGAGTGGCGGCAGGCGTGGAGCGGCGGCAGGTGACCAGCGGTGCGGTGCGGCTGGTAGGAGCGGCAGCAGGCGACCAGCGGAGCGTCCAGTGAAGTGGGACAAGACAGCTAGTGGAACGTGGCAGAGTGGCTCGCATTAAAGACTGCAGCAGACCCTATGGAGAGGTGGGGCCATCGGCCTCGGACCACGTAAGGTGCCCCTATCTATCCCCCCGCCCCAATTTCTACCCAGGTTGGAAGGTAAAACCCTTCAGGTAAACTTTTGGACTCTGGGAGGCACTGACCAGGGACAGAGACTTTTGGGGTGTTGGATTTTGGGACTTCAGGTGACTCTTGGCTGGGGGGCAGGGGGCTTAGCTCATGTTTGGGCTATGAACTTCTCAGTTTCATTAAATGTTTCTTTCCTACACTCAGACTCTGTGCTTGCGAGTGGGGAAGCATTGCCTCTCAGAGGCACCTAGGGGTGTGTGAATTTTCCAGGTTACTGGGTGGGGGCTCGAGTCGGTTCTGTATGAGATGGACCCCTAGATATTGAACCCAGCCCTGGTTGCTGCCAGGCCTACCTGGCAGAAGGGGTTACACGTACAAACACATGATGATCTGAAACGAGTACTTCATTGCTAGGTTCCCAAAAATACCTTTAGAGAATTGATGGAAAAGTCAACCTTGCACCTGCTTCTAATATGGTGCTGAACATTTTCACCACCTACTGAGTAAATAAGAGGCACTGGGCACGTTGCAGGATTAGGTTCTACTTTCCTACAGACTTGATTCTGATGCTTTCAGTGGCAAGTGAACCTATTGGCATGAAGTGGCAGCTGACAGTGCTTTTATACAGTAACATACCCTTCTTCAAATTAGTTTCATGACAGTACTGAAGAAAACTTTCATTACTGAATGTAGGTGTGAAATATAGAGCTTAATTTAATAAAACAAGCATGTAGAGTTAAGGATCATCCGTTTGTATCTGGTGTAATATACAGAGTTCATAAAGAAATGTTAGTTTTATTTAAAAAAGAAAAAGAAACACTTGAATATCTTTTGGCTACTAGAGTTCAGTTCTTTCTCTTTGATGAAAGTGACTGTGATGAGATCAAACGCAGGCTTCCCTACTGTTCATAGCAACTAACAAGTCTCTCACTATACAGTTGATATTTGTTTTACAGCTCAGAAATTCATAGTCCCTCCAGTTCTTCAACTACACGAAAAAAAGCAAGCACAATAAAACTCCTGAAATGCCATCCAGAGTAGAAATGAAGGTCTCTCAAAGGAAGCAATATATACAATGCTGGGGAGATTTAAAATAGCATGAAAAACGAATGCATTTTTCTTTGACGAAGATAATTTGGAGTTCAAAAGTAATTCAACAAAATTACTTGGCATGTCTTTACTCTGTCATTCAGGTGAGTGCTTACCTACATATGTTGCTCCCTCTTGTCTCATACCATCAACAACGTTTTGCAGGACAGAGTCTTTAATTCTTTCTAGAAGAGCTTCCGGAATCTGATGAGCAATTCCAAATTGAGAGTATAAACTTTTTGTGGTATGTTTCCTCTTCTTATATATATATCTGAGTCTCTTAAAAAGCACTGAACATAACTCATTTATTTTGTACCAGTGAGGTAGTCTTGTTTCCATAAGAAGTGCCATATGCCTATTTTCACCCAACATATTCTGTATTTCTGTAGGACCTTGAAAAGTCATTGAGTCCAGGCCCCTATACTGAAGCAGGATCAAATATACCTAGACTAGGGGTGGCCTACCTGTTACAGGCAAAGAGCCAAAATAGTTGTGCATATAGCACAAAGAGCTGGGGGGGAACAGAGGGAGTTGTCTAGGAAAGAGAAAAAAAAAGGACTGCCCCTTTAAGAAACGTGGTTAAAGACTTTTTGGCCACATCAGGCTCCCGCCAGCCGCCACCATCTTGAAGATGCCATTTTGAATGGCCATGCTGGTCAGTTCCCCTGCCTCGGTGAGCACAGGGAGCCGGGAGGTGGGGGCTGTTTTCAGGAGCGCGGGGGCGGCTTTGCGAGTCGCAATTTCAGGGTGGGAAGAGCCACATGCGGCTCACGAGCCGCAGGTTGGCCATGGCTGACCCAGACTATCCCTGACTGGTGTATATCTAACCTATTCTTGAAAACCTACAATGACAGGTATTCCACAACCTCTCTCAGTAACCTATTCCAGGTTTTAACTATCCTTAGAGTAGAAATATTTTCTTAATGTCTAGCTTAGGTCTCACATGCTGCAGATTTAGTTCATTACTTCTTATCCTGCCTTCAATAAACATGAAGAACAATTGATCACAGAACAATTGAAGAACAGCTTTTAACATATTTGAAGACTTATTAGGTTCTCCTTCAGTCTCCTTTTCTCAACACTAAACAAGCCCAGGTTTTTTAAGCTTTCCTTACAAGTCAAGTTTTCCAAGCCTTTTATTGTTGTGTCCTCTGTACTCTCCCCAATTTGTCCACATCTTACCAAAAGTGTGGCCCCCAGACCTGGACACAATGCAGCAGATGAGGCTTGAAGAATGCTGAGCAGAGCAGGACAATTACCCTCCTTGTCTTATAAACAACACTCCTGTTAATATATCCCAAAATGTTATTAGCCTTTTTTGCAATTGTATCACATAGTACAGGGCTACTCAACTTTGGAAGCCCTGGGGGCTACAATACTTTCAGTGCGTGCTAAGGGCCGCAACTTAAGTGTGGTTGCATGTACATGCAAATATATGCAAATAGCTTATTTCACACTGACAGGCATGAATACAAAGATTAAGGCAAGATTACACAACACAGAGGCCCCATCAAAGTCAGTTCTGCTGACACTAATAAAATGCAATAGTTACCCAATTTCCACCCATATGACAGCACTTTTAATGAGCAATGACAGTCCAGGAATTTAACTACTAAAACACATATCAACAGAAGACCATTATATTGACCCACTATTATGGATCATGTTCCCAGTGGAGGCCATGTTCAAAGGATCTCACCCACGGGCCACATGTTGAGCCCTGCGTAAACCCAAACTGCACCGCAGGCCACAAACAAACAGGCCATGGTCCACATGTTGCCCACTTTGTGCGTGTTGAGTAGCCCTAACATAGTAGAACACAAATTAACTACGAATCAACAATAATCTCCAGATCCTTTTCAGCAGTACTACTATCTAACTAGCCAGTTATTCCCCATTTTGCAGTTGTGCATTTGATTTTTCCTACTTAACAGTAGCACATCACACTTGCCTTGACTGAATTTCACCTTGTTGATTGTGGACCAATTCTCCAGTTTGTCAAAGTCATTTTGAATTCTAATCCTGGCCTCCCACATGCTAGCACCCTCTAATGTGACAGCAAATCCATGATAACTACTCTGACTATGGTCTTTCAACCCTTTTGCACCTACCTTGTAGTAATTTTATCTAGCCTACATTTCCCAAGTTTATGTCACTTGGAACTATGTCAAAAGTCTTACTAAAATCAGGATGCAGTACATCACATCTATTCCATTCCCTCCCTCCTCCTGCATCCTCTAAACTAATAATCCCGTGTAGCCAGACACGAACCCCATCTTGTTTCCCCCCCCCCCCCCAGAGAGCAAGAGAAAGGCAATCAGCCTTTGATGCCCTGGGAACACAGGTGTGGTGCCTGTTCCTGACTCTACCATAAACAGAAACCAAACAGTAAATGGGCTAGCTGATGACTGGGAGGCCTCCCATCGCCGTGATGGCTAGTATCAGTAATTGACACGCCTGCACTGTCTCAGGAAAGGAATCTTCGCCCATCACATACCAGAGGTACCCATTGTCTGCATCTTCCCAGGTGTAAATTATACTTTGCACCCTTCGTGGGAAACTTGGCGTTCAAAGCCATTTTTCCTAATTGGCCACTTAAGACCAGGAAGAAGCCTATGTGACCCAACGGGTATAAAGAGGGGTTTAGTTGCCCACCCCCTTTGAGCTCCAATCACCTACACCTGCTGGCAGGTATTAATTGTCTCCCGAGGTCTGTGGGACGCCCAACCTCGCCCTACTTCTTCCCGAGGGATTGAGAGAAAGACGCTGGCCAGGCCAAGTCTGGAACGCAGGGGTAAGAATTGTACCTGCAATGTGTTTTCTTTATGTGTACACTTTAATTGTCACTCTGCTGTAAGTTTAGTTACTTTATTATAGTTTTCTTAAGGCAAACTGCTTCATTTCTATTGTAAAATGCCTTTGGTAAGGTGATTTAGCTATAAACTTTGGGAATAAGTGGGGTGCCTTCATTCACTTATAAATATATATATATTGAACCAAGTTTCTTTTATTTCTTTTCTCTTTCTTTCTCCTATAAATAAGCCAGTGCGTGTCAAGCTTCTGACTTAAACCCGTGCTGCTGTACCCGAACCGAACACAAACAAAGGAACTTCAGCCGGTCAAAATGGACAGGTATAGGAAGAGCTTGGGCGTTTTGGATCGTGTCGCTTCCAGGGGACAGATCCGTTGGGGCACCTCTCAGCCTCCCCAGGCTGCCCGCTGCAAAGGGATTTCTGTATCCTAGCAGCTAAAATCTGAGGTGTAATAAGCTCTTCCTATAAACTCGGGGCATCTGAGAGCCTGTTGGCTGCCCTCTGCGACGGGACCCCGGTCCTAGCAGTAAAGTCACAGATGTTAAACTATTTTTCAGGGCGCCCTCCAGCCTCCTAGGCTGCCCACTACAACGAGACTTTGAGTCTCAGCAGTTGAAGACTTGGGTGTAACACACATGAACACACTGCCCTAACCATTTCGGCTGACACACCCCGTCAAAAACCATTTCGTTTATTTTCCATGATCTAGTCTCTATAAATCCATTTTGGTTACTACTTATGAATCTACTATCCATCCTCGAGACCACGCTGGTTTGTTTACTTACCCAGCGCCATGGCCATGGAGCCTCGTGGCTCCTATTAGTTCGTTTGCCGTTTGCAGCCAAAGGGAGCTGCTGGAAGTGGTATGGGCTGGGCTGCTGCTACCTGCAGTGCCACTTGGCTGCAAATGGCGAACCAAAGCCAATAAGTGCTGCAACACTACATGGGCGCAGCGCCAGTAAATAAACAAACTGACACGGTCAGTTTACAGGTTTCCCAAAGTGGTTTCACAGATCACTTCCAGCCACACTGCTCTAGGTGCTCAAAACTGACAATTTCTTTCAATATCTTTCCAAGTATCAAAGTTTGGCTGACTGGTCCTGTTACTTCCCAGAGCCTCTTTTTTCCCTTCTGTAATCTTCTGGGACCTCATTCATCCTCCACAAGTTCTTAAAGATAAATGCTAATGCTTCAGCTAGCTCCTTAAATTTCCTGGGTCATCAGGCCCTGTTGATCTGAATACATGTAACTTATCTAAATATTCTTTAACCTGTCTTGCTGCATTCCTTCCCCATGTTATGCATCTGGTCACAAACACTCTTTGTTACAAAACAAATTCCGAAATCATTAGCTAACATCTCGTTTAAGATACAGAAAGCTTCCAGACATATCAGGAATTACAAATGTCTAGTTTTTTAAGTATATGCTCATTTCCAAAATTGCTACCAGCGACAGAGGGACAGCACAGCTAAATGAACAGAAAAGCCACGATGGAGATCACTTTCCAGAACTCAGACCTGAAGTCCAAGAATGCATAATAGGACTGAGGCTCCATAGCCTTATGCAAACAAAGCACTGACTTCACAGGCAATATATTCAATTACCTGCTATTTAACATCCTTAATGTGCATGGAATGTGATTGTTTCGCATCAAACAGAAAGGGAGGGGTGCGATAGCAGGGACAGTTATAATCACAAATTATCACAGGGGGACAGCAAGTGCCTCAGCCCCACAGAGTAGCTGCTGGTCAGCAGCATGACCCCCGCCACCCTGTCCTGCCCTGGGGAGCAGCTGTGGCCCCCGTTACCTCCATGGCCTGTGTGGCCCTTGCTGTCCTCAGGCCAGTCCTGGGGAAAAGCTTCTGGGCAGCCTACACAGACTAGCCCCGGGAGAAGCTGCCAGGTGGCCTGTGTGGCTGATGCTGCCTGGGGCTGCATGCCCTGCCTCTTACCCCAGGTGAGAAGCTGGCGGGTGGGCCGTGCAGCCCCTCTCCAACCCAGGCCAGACCCAGACCCAGACCCAGACCCAGGCAATGCCAGGTAAGTCTTCTCATGCCTACATAATGGACCCAGAACTGCGTGCCTATTAACAAATTCACCAAAGCTTAATTACTTTTTTGAGGACGTTTAGAAAGCAATATAAATCACTTTACCTGTGGTGCTGGGCAATAAGCTCCCATCCCTGCAGTGTTTGGGCCCTGGTCTCCATCCCTTAACCGTTTGTGGGCCTGGACTGGTGGCATGGGGGCAACAGTGACACCATCAGTGAAGCACAAGCACTGTAAAAAAATTTAAATAGCACAGAATGTACTCAGATGGTTCTGTTCTATTATCAGCTGACCTCATCTCAGAAGATCACAGATTTAGCCCTGTCATTAGTGTATTTAAGGTTCAAAACTGGAAAACAATGAACCAAATTCATCTTGATGTAACTATACTGACAAAAGAGTGTAGCCCATCTCAATTATTTATTTAGATTTTAACAGATTCTGGAGACAATGGTTTTGACTGGTGAGGGTCCCATATAAGAATTCCCTTCTACTGTATTGTCAGTGCTGGGTACATTCAAGTCCTGATCTTGTAAGCCCACTTAAATGTATTAGGTATGTTAACCAATAAGCATGAGGCTTACCAGTATGTTTACTGGTTAACAGGCTCTTGCTAGCAAACTTCAGTGGTGGCCAGCCACCAACGGTGGCAGCGTGGGTAGCAGGTCCCCATGGCCACAGATACAGTGAGGCTGGGCAGCAGACCCAAAGTTAAAACAATTAAGCATTAGCATTTAACTGGTTAACCATTTTAACATCCCTAAAATATATGCTTATCTTCAGGCATGTAAAAAGTCCACTGAGTTCAGTGGAAACACTCAAGTGCTTAAAGTTAAATACATAATGTAAGTATTTGAAGGATCAGGGCCTAAAAAGAACACAAAATATTATTTTTGGCAATGAAGTAAAATCTCATGCAGAGCATTCATCTTAAAACTGTGGCACAACATCCAGATCTTGCCACAGAAATAATCTTAAATTTTATCCCTCAGATTATTTATCTATATATTTTAGAAATGTGCATCTGTTTGTCTATCCTTCCGTGAGTCCATTTGTTCAAGAACTCCTCCTAAACGGTAAGAGCTAGGACCACCAAATTTGATATGCAGCTCTCTTTTCTCCTAATTTAAAGCAAGCTCAGGCTTGGGTGTTCCTGGAAAACAGGAAGTGTCTGGAATGTGAATGTTTTGCCTAACATGGAAAGGGAGGGGCGGATTGGAGGAAGAGCTAATTGCAGAATGACCACTGGAGGCAGCCACATCACCAACAGAGGGCCAGCTGGGGACAGCGGCTCACCATCTTGCCAGTCACTGGACCATATAACTGGCTTCTCTGCCCGAAACCCCTTCCCCCCACCCCTAGCTGAAGCAATATAGTGGGAGGAAGGGAAGTTCTGCTAGACAGGGCGTTGGCGAGAAGCCCTTCAGGATGCTGGACTTGTAGGAGGGGGGAATGAGGGAGAAAGCTCCACTGGACCCCCAGACTGGGAAGGGGAGGGGGAAAGGTCCCCCGCCCTCCCATTTCCCCTGCCCTGGGATGTGCAAGGGGGAAAGGAGGAAGCCCCATTGGCCCTGCCTCAGGACAGGGGAGGAAGGAGGAAGAAAGAACTGTTTGTCCTCATCCCCACTCCAGCCCAGTCCCTGGGGACAAGCTGGCAGGCAGGGTGTGTGCCCCTGGCCCAGCCTCCAGAGAAGCCAGAGGGTGGGGAGTGCACATTGCTGCCCTACGGATAAGCCAGCAGGCAGGGTGCGTGGTTCCCCCACTGCCCTGGGCCACCCTGGGAAGAAGCCAGTGGCCACTCCCCCTTTGCTCTGAGCCCCTCCCTCCTGAGCTCCCCCTCTCCCAACTCCAGACTTGATTCCTACACCTCCACCCCTGCCCTGAGCTCCTCCTCAACCCCCCAACCCTTCTGCACCCCTATGTCCCTGGCCTCATGCCCTGAGCTCCTCACATCCTAAGGCCCTACCCCCTGCACCACCAGCTCCCTGCCCTGAAAGACCTAGGAAATGCCTGGTAAGTCTTCTCATCTTACTATATATTTTAAAATTGTGTGTGTGTCTGTCTATCCATCTATAAGTCTGTTTGTTCAAGAACTCCTCCCAAATAGTAAGAGCTAGGACCACCAAATTTGTTGTGTGGATTACTTTTATCTTAATTTATGGCAAAGTAAGGGTTTGGTTATGTCGGGAAAATGGAATGTGTCTGGAATTTGATTGTTTCTCATAAAATGGAAAGAGAGGGACATTTATACTGTAGAATGACCACAGGGGGCACCGAGGGGCCAGAAGTGGGGACGGGGACAGTTATAACCCTACTGGGCCAGCAGGGAGCAAGGGTGGAGAAAAGGACAGCTATTTAATATATATTTCAGAGAGTTTGTGTGTCTGTCTGTCTGCTCACCCTGCCTGGGGATATGAATCTCTCCCCCAGCTGTGCCCTCTGGAGCTGCAGTGGCCATGGAGAGGCACTTCTCACCTGACCCCAAGTTGCTGTGGTGAGAGAGAGCTGGGGTAGCCTCCTCTTCCTGGGGCAGCCTGAATACCGAACCCCGAACCCCTAGCCCCACCCCAGAACAATGATTTAAATGAAGAAAAACAAAACTTTTTTGACTTGAGGACCCAAGTAACACCAAGTAAATCTTCTAGAGTACTGTCTATCGCAGGGAAGACACCACAATTGTATTTACAGATACAAAAAGTAAACTAAGCATTAGGACAAAAATGTAGGACATAATGCAAGAAAAGTGGCAAAGTGGATATATTAAAAATCAGCATTACATTACTTTTTCCCCTCTCTAGACCAATTCCCCCCCCCCCCCACAGCTCTCAGTCATTGCATATTTACATTTAATGTAGAATAAAGTTGCACTGAGAATGTACATTGACTAACATGACATCAGAATGCATGGTTTATATATTTCTGTAACTGCCACATAAACAAAAATTATTTTAAACAAAGAATTCATGCTTTTAGGAAAAAACGTGTAATGGCAATACAAGTGCATAAAAAGATTTGTAACTAAACTATTGAGCCAAAACCAAACATACAGATAGTTCTTCCCCTTTAAGAAGTTCTTCAATGACAATCCTCTCTCCAGCCTCTCCAAACATTTTATCCTGCATTAAAAATATTCTTTAGTTACTAGCTGTGACATCCATCAGTTAGATAATATCTTCTCTTTAAAAACGAAAAACACCGCTAACAGAAGGAAACAATGCATATGAAAAGAGCCATCTTATTTTAATCCTGGGACTATGGACAGAGACAAACAAAGCAATAAAAAGTTTGACCAATGCAATGAAAGCTCCTTCAAACAGAGAGGGGCCACAGAACCCAGAATTTAACAGATTACATGGACCTAGAGAAAAACAAAGCAGAGAATCTGGACAACATGCATTGCCTTGAGAAAGGGTCAAAGAAATCAGTGGATGCTGCCCAGAGGAAATCTGCCCAGATACGTGCATCGACAAGGCAACAGGAAAACGGCCCACAGTCACAGAAACTGATAATTTTGATGACTGAGGTCTTTCTTTTACCCTGAGGACAGGTACAGCATAGGCAGCAACAGGGTAAGCTTCCCAGTACACCGAGAGCTGGAGAGACCTCCTTAGGTTAGGAAAACAATTCAGTTTCAAAGTCCACTTAGCACTCAGGCCAACAAAGTGGTGGGTTTTGTGATGAAAACATCTATCCACTTGGGCTAAACAACTGAGTAAGATCCCCAAACTCATTGCTTCAAGGCCACTGGGTAGCGAGAATCAGAATTACAATATTTAAATAAAGGGTAGCTTACCTGCAAAATCTCTTGCACAGTTCTGCAGGCTTCCGCTTTGCTGGACGCAAAAATTATTTCTTTTTTACCACCAGGGCCACAAGCCTTTATAACCAGTGCAGGAAAGTCTGTGCTATAAGTGATGGCAGGGCACATGAGAGTCAGGATCAGACATCTCCAATGCATCTTCTAACAGGTACATTTTTAAGCTGAACACATCTAAGATTTTTCCCTTTTTGTGAGGAATATTAAATTAAAATATACTTGATTGTGCCTATCTTACATGTCATATTTTCAGACTGGTCTTGTGGTCTAAGCATAAAACTGGGAACTAGGAACTCTTAGGTCTAGGTGCTAGCTCTGAATTTGTAGGTCACAGTCATAATTAATACTGAATTTTGCAAGAATTCTGCTACTTTGTTACATGAGGAATAAGATTACCCAGTTCTGAAGGATATTTTAACCACATTGTATCCATCTTTTCTCCTCCCTCCAATACTGGATAGTAAAACTAAATGGAATATTTGAACAGATTATTCATAATACCACCAGCATACAAACAGACACATATATTCTGATACAGAACATTTTCATATTTTAATCCACTGCCCAAAGCTTGATATAAACAGGAGTGGGAACAAGCATACAAAGCTCATTATACAGGGCATAGCATGCTTATCTGGGATTGCTTTTCTTCTTTTTGTTATATGTTTTCTTATTGTTTATATATAGAAGTTCCTTTGCATAACTGTAATAGAAAATAACATAGTAGAAATTGTTCGAGTAAAATCAGTAAAAAACCCAGATTTTAAAAAATCTATATTCTCATTGATAGTAGCATACTTAAGACATGATATAGAAGAAAACACAATTTTTAGAGCCAGTGCATGGCTGTAGGACAGAACAATTGTACAGTAGTAGCTTTCTTCTGTGGTCAATTGCACTATGGTGAGGGAGAATCACTATCTAAGCCCAAATTGTAACTCCTTTCTTCAGAATGGTGAATCACTCTCCTAAAGAATCCTATTGACTTCAATGGAACTATGAAATCACCAACATGAGTAAGGAATATGAAATCTAGAATTCAAGAATTCTAGCTTCACAGTACTCCATGAATAACACTATCATCTGTGATTGGGCATACCTGAGAATCTTATATAACATATCAGAATATGTTTTCTCTTAGATCCATTTTTTCCCTTATCACGGATGGCCAACTGTTACCCTAATGTAGTTTAACAGAAAAAAACCTCTATGAGCTCTGAGCTAAAACTTAACACTTTGGAAAACTGCCATTGTGGCTCTTAGTGCCATTAAAGTTGCTCAATGAACACATTTGTTTTTTATTATAAAAGGACCTTAATTATTGCTAGTCACTAATAAAGTATCAACAAGTAAAAGAAAGTATCATCATGAGGTAAGACCAAATGTACAGACACCTGAAAAATGGCAGTGCCTCATGGGACAAATGGCTTACATGGTAATAAAGCTACAAGCTTCTTGAAGATTATCAAATGCTTCCCATCTTGCTGTTGGGATCTTATGGCGATCCAGAAAGGCTTTGGCAAAGCTTGTATTGGTTTCTAGCTGAGCTGCCTTGGCTGAGGGACCAAAACATCTCACTCCAGCTGACATCAAATCATCCACAATTCCTAATAAAAGTGCCAAAAGACAAATTCAACTCAAACATTCAACAATCCACATACGATGATGGCCTTTGTATAAGACAATAGTTTTCAACCTGTGGTTCATGAATCCTGAGGGGAGGGGTGGGAGGTCTGCAGATTATGACTAAGATTTCCAAAGGGGATTTTAGCTCATTCAGAATTTGTTAGGGGTCTGTAAATGAAGGGAAAAAAAAGGTTGAAAACTATTATTGTAAGCGGGGTCAGGGTAAACTCTATCCTGACATCTGGTGGTGAACTGTGGCAAGTGGTGCAAAGAGACTTCAGGGGCTGATCCCAATTTGCATAGACACACCCACCCTGTCTAGTATGTGCTCACAGCAGCCCAAATGGTCACTTTGGCCACTGTGGGATCCCCAGTCTCTCTGTTATTGAGGCAGGGGGGATAAAAGCGTTGTTACCCTGTTTATGCGAATCAAGGACAATGGAATGGTGGAACTGTTTATGACAGAGGGATTCGCCATAAACTAAGTAGCACTCGCTAGACAAGGGGCATGGGTTCCAAACCTAGTCAAACTAAGATAGGCTGGGGATAGGTCTTTGTACTTGGTGGTAGGGCCCTGTCTGAGGGTCTAAACAATGCTGATTATGCTCCCTCTGCACCGTGGAATCTCAGAGTTAATTTAGATTCCATTAGAAGTCTAGTTGTGAGCTGTGGAGTGCTAGTGCTAAGGCTCCTCTGTTATGAGCTGAAATCACTGTGTGCTGTGCTGTGGACAAGAGCTGAAATTGCTGTGGAAATCACTGGTGTTGTGGAGAGCCTAGTGCTGTGCTGTGGATGAGCGCTGAAATCACTGTTGCTGAGGGGAGCCTGGGGCTAAGCTGCTGGGCTGTTTGCCGGGTGGGGGTGACCTGTGGGTGTGGGCAGTCAGCAGAGGGCTGGCGGGGGCGACCTGTGGGTGTGGGCAGTCAGCAGAGGGCTGGTGGGGGTGACCTGCAGGTATGGGCAGTCAGCAGAGGGCTGGCGGGGGCAACCTGCAGGTGTGGGCAGAGCGACTGCAGACAGCCAGCGGCTGCTGGTAGGAGCGGCAGCAGGCAGCAGACAGCCAGCGGAGCAGCGGCGGGAGCAACCAGCTGGCAGCCAGGGGTGTGGACTGCTGGTGGAGCCGGACAGTGGAGGCGGCTCACTGGATGGCAGGTGGAGTGTGGCGGAGTGACTTGCGTCGACGGCTGGGGCGACACGAACCCAGGGCAGAGACTTTTGGGACTTTGGGGGGATTTGTGGCTGGGGGAAGGGGCTTTGCTCATGTTTGGTCGGTAAATCCAAGTTGTGGTGTTTCCCCAATTTAATGCTGATGTCGGTTGAACCCGGCCCTTGCTGCTATTTACTCGGCCTGGCAGAAGGGCTACATTATGTTAAGAGAAGGTGGGTGAGGTGACGTCTTTTATTAGACCAGCTTCCACTGGTGAGAGAGAGAAGCTTTCACAGAGCTCTTCTTCAGAGCTAGGAAACTTACTCAGAATGTCACAACTAAATACAAGATGAGACAGTCTGCTTAGCATAAGCAGTTAACACATACTCTAGGAATGTGAAGTAGCCTGTTAACAACTCTCTAGTCCTACAACAAAGAAAAGATGAATACTTATACAGGTTGAACCTCCCCCATATCCAGGACTTTCAGCTGGACCATGGATGTTGTTGGACCAAAGAGCCCTGGTGGCTAGAAGCCTGAGCCAGTCAGAAATCCCATAGGTGCTGGAGAGCCCTTGCTGGGCTGGCAGTGGAAACTCCCTGCAGGAATGGGGCCAGCAGCAGCTAGGAAACTCCTGGCCTTGACTGGGAACCCCCCAGCCAGAGCAGGGCCAGCAGGAGAGCCGGGGTTTGAGGCCACAGGAGCCTAGCAGGAAAAGGCTCAGGAAAGATTTCTTTCAAGATGTGATCCCCATCAAGTATGGACTTTAATAGTTTAATGATACCCCCTACGCATGCCAGTGGGGGATGCTAGGTGACAACTAGAGGTGTGTGGTTAAAGAGTTCTTTTCTTCTGTATTGCAGTAGGTTCTCTCGGGGTATTTGGATAATTTGGGTGGCCTATTTGTAATGCAATCTATTTCTCTAGTGGAGTGTCTTTGATGAAGGCAATAATTCTATAATATCTTTATATTATTGATAGTTTTGTGTGCTTTATCACCATTTTATTTTTCTTCTTATCCCTCATTTGAAAATATTAATGGCTCTATATTACCACAGAAATTTCATGGAGTTGGGGTGCCTCCTAATTCTTGTCTTATGAGGAGGAAATAACACTTCCTTATTTACTTTCTCCACAACAGTCATGATTTTATAGCCCTCTATCATATACTCCCTTAGCAGTCTCTTTTCCAAGATGTAACACCCCTAATATTTTTGTTGCCCTTTTTTGTACCTTCTCCAATTCCAATATATCCTTTCTGAGATGGAGCAATAATATCTGCATAGATGCTGACTCAATGGGTGCTCCAAGGCTGGACAAAAAATTAGTGGGTCCGGAATACCTACTAGCACCAATCTCCCCTTTCTCCCTGCACTTCTTGCATGCTGGCAAACCTATCCTTACAAACTCCTCCCACTCCTGTCCAGCAGTATTCAAGCTCCAGAAGGGAGGGGGAAGCATGGGACTGGGGCATTCTTGCAGCAGGAGGTGGAGAAGAGGTGGGACAGGGCAAGGATGGAGGCTTGGGTGAAGGGATAGAGTGGGAATGGGGGCTGAGGCGGAGGGGGGGTGTTAAACACCCCTCAGCAAGATGAGAAGTCAGTAGTCAAGATGTGAGTATATCCATCTACTACATATTTTAGAGTTTGTGCATCTACCTATTTGTCCATCCACCTGTGAGTCCATTTGTTCAAGAATGCCTCCTAAACAGTAAGAGCTAGAACCATGAAATTTGGTATGCAGTTGCCTCTTATCATAACTTAAAACAAGATCAGGATTTGATTGTGCCAAGTCAATGGGATGTGCATGGAATGCAATTGTTTAACAGCAAACAGAAAGGAAGAGGTGTGACAACAGGAACTGTTCTTATTCATGAATGACCACAGGATGGCAGCAAGCATCCCATCCCCAGGGAACAGGTGCTTGGGCCAGCCCCAGAGAAAAGCTGGTGGGACAGCATGATCCCCACAGCCCTGGCAGCCCCCAGACCACACCAGGTAAGTCTTCTAGTGGATTTATATGGAGGCAAAAAAGAACTAGTGAAGTTAATGGAGGATATGTCCATCAAGGATTATTAGCCAGGATGGGCAGGGATGAGGTCAGGGGATGGATCGCTTGATGATTACCTGTTCTGTTCATTTCCTCTGAGGCATCTGGTATTGGCCTCTCTCAGAAGACAGGATACTAGGCTAAATGGACTTTGGATCTGACCCAGTATGCTGTTCTTCTGTTTTTAAATACTTCCCAAAGCACCATCTACACACTCTGCTACATCCTTTGCTACAGTGAAAAGCTTAAAGCTCAAAATGCTATCTTACAGATGGAATAAATTACCAGTTTCATCATTGGATTTCAAGAAACTTTTTATCTTATTTTACAAAGCCTTACAATGAGACTATCCAGTTACTGCACATTTCCTACATGTTGTCTAACAAGTACACAGCTATAAAGCAAAAATAAGACACAAAATAATCTTACATTTACAGAGGCAACCTAGAATATTCATACACTTCAGTTAAATTAAGGTAGAATAAAGCTTAACACGTCAATATGATTATCTATCTTTTAAGATAAATTCGAGGCACCTGGCTTTTTCTAACAAGATAAATTATTCTGACCTTACCAGCTCCCAAGAGTGCCTCTGGTCCAACTACTACAAGTCCAATGTTATGGTCCTTGCAGAACTGGGCAAGGATAGTATGATTACTGACTAATACAGCTGAAAAGGATAAAGACATATAATTAAGTTACAAATGTAAAGACAAAGGGGGTTATGATCCCTCCCCCCCCCCACACACACACAATACTAATAAAGCACTGGAATGGACCATTTTTATAGGCAAAAGGAGAGCTGAACAACCTAAAGGATGCTAAGCTCTTATGGTCATTATCAAAACTGCAATAGAATAACTCAAAATAGAATCCACAATAGATAACTGAAGATAATCCACAATATCCAATTAATATTGTCACTGAATATTAATTACACCGTGTTTATTCTGGGTTGTCCAAGGAAACATTTTAAAATTTATTTTACACAAAATTAGCACATTTTAAAAATAAAAAGTTAGGATTGTATATTGTGCATAATAAATTGACGAAGCAAGGTCATGCCCTGAGTACAAGACAATGCGTAGCTGTGCCATAGGTGCTGGAACTAGACATGCTGGGGATAAAGCTGCACCCCTGAGCTTGAAGTGATTTCTGTTATACACAGGATTTGGAGTTTTGTTCAATGGCTTTCAATACTGCCCACTATAAAAACTGTTCCATCCCCCTTAAGGTGTGCTGCCCCAGATGAAGTCTGGGGAATTTTCCAACTTCTTCTCCGGTGAGTGCATTGAGAGACATTCATTTCCCATTCCATTCCCACTCTTTTCCCCATCAACTTTGAGGGGAATATCAGGCACAAAGTTCCTGCTCTTTCCCATACTCAGAGTCACAATGCTGCCCCTTATTTATGGCAGACTCCAACGTCACAATCTAACTCGACTTATGGCCTGTGGGCTGGATCTGGCCCATCGCTTGCCTGGATCCAGCCCATGAATCTCAGGGCTTCCCTAACGCCTCCCACCCTACTGAAGTGGTGTGAACTGGTGCTCCAACCACGCAGTGGGTGGGTGCACTGAGGCTCTGTTCCCCGCCCCCTCCCCCAGGGCTCTTGTACATTTCAAAGGCAGAACGCGGAAGTGCTAATTGACTAGTCGAGTAGTCGATGGAAATTCCATTGACTTACTCAACTAGCAAATTAATCACTACTTAATCACTATCCTAGACCTCACACTCCTACCCCCAGCCTCCTCTCTGGCAATCCCCTCCCACAAACTGAATCTTTTGAGCTCCACAAAATCTACTACCCCTGGGCCAGAAGAATTAATCTGGCCCAAGGGGTAAGCCCTGAGCCTCAGCAACCCTCACTACCATCCCATGGGGCCTGAACATGAGGAGTTCCTCTTTTTTTCCTGCTTCTTAGTTGGGGGCCAGGTCAGTGACAGGGTGGGTTTTTTTTGCCTTTTTCCCCCTTTTCACTTAGGGGCGGCCCCCAACTGATTGGTCTATGGGTCAGTGGCCCCTGACCTAAAAAAGGTTCCTCACCCTGGTAGCTCATTGAAAACAGAAAGTATTTTATACTCTGAAAATACAATACATAGATCAGCATTTCTCACATTCATTACAATTTGAAGGGTTTATTTCTAATATCTATTTTCTAGTAGGGTTTAACCCCCAAAACATGGCACTTCATTGTTAATAACCCATCCCATTCATTGTACATATTCTAGAACTTTCAATCTACTGCATGATGTTATGTACTGCAGGCTTACTGCTTACCCCCAACTGAATTCAGTGGGTACATAACTGAGTCCTGAATCATGAGCCTGATCCAGTGACTACTAATGTCAGTAACAAGATTCTCTCTGATTTAGACTTTAGGCATAATGGTAAGATAAACTAGTCTCACATATACAGGCATTAACGCATATACCAATGAGATTCAGTGAGATTGAGAGACCTTTGACTACCGAAGAATGTGGAACCTGAAATACATTTTGAATTTGATGGATTTATGTGTTTCACTGAGCTACTTTTTGAACATTTGTATGTATTTTTGAGATTGCTAATTTGTATCCATTTAGATCTAACTGTCCTCAAGTCTTGTGTGTTCTTTAATTTTTGGTGCCATATCAAAACATGATGAAACACTATCAGATAATTAGGGCCTAAAAATTCACAGTCATGGAAAACATGCAACAGACCATGAAATCTGGCCTTTTGTGAGCTTTTTATCCAGTACTATACAGATTTCATGGGAGAGGCCAGTGTTTCTCAAATTAGGAGTACTGACCCAAAAGGGAGCTGCAGGGGAATCACAAGGTTATTTTAGGAGGGTCATGGTATTGCCACCCTTACTTCTGCACTGTCTTCAGAGCTGGGCATCTGAAGAGCACTAGTTGTAATGTTGACCGGGCACCCAACTCTGAAGGCTGAAACAAAAAACAGGACTATGTAGCACTATAAAGACTAACAAGATGGTTTATTAGTTGATGAGCTTTCGTGGGCCAGACCCACTTCCTCAGATCAAATAGTGGAAGAAAATTGTCACAGCCATATATACCAAAGGATACAATTTAAAAAAATGAACACATATGAAAGGAAAAATCCACTTTCAGAACAGAAGGGTTCGTGGGCCAGACCCACTTCCTCAGATCAAATAGTGGAAGAAAATAGTCACAACCATATATACCAAAGGATACAATTAAAAAAATTAACACATATGAAAAGGACAAATCACAATCCCCGTTCTGTTCTGAAATTTGATTTGTCCTTTTCATATGTGTTCATTTGGCTTAATTGTATCCTTTGGTATATATGGTTGTGACAATTTTCTTCCACTATTTGATCTGAGGAAGTGGGTCTGGCCCACGAAAGCTCATCACCTAATAAACCATCTTGTTAGTCTTTATAGTGCTACATAGTCCTGTTTTTTGTTTCAGCTACCCCAGACTAACACGGCTACATTTCTATCACTACTCTGAAGGCAGCACCCTGCCAACAGCAGTGCAGAAGTAAGGGGGACAACATCCATGTCACCTTTATTTCTATACTGCTGTTTTCAGATCTCGGTAGCTAGAGAGTGGTAGCTGCAGAGGTAAGGGTGGCAACACCATAGCATACATCTCTACCTCTACTGCTGACAGTAGCTCTGCCTTCAGAGCTCAATTCCTGGCCAACAGCTGCCCCTCTCCAGCTGCCCAGCTCTGAAGGCAGTGCTAATGCCAGCAGCTGCACAGAAGTAAAGGTAGCAATACCACAACCCTAAAACAATAACCTTGCAACCCACACATCTCCTTTTTGGGTCAGGACTCGTACAAGAATAACAACATGAAATTTCAGATTTAAATATACAAAATCATGAAATTTACCATTTTAAAAATCCTATGACAATTAAATTGACCAATTGGACCGTGAATTTGGTACAGCTCTACAAATAATCCTAAAATTCAGAAAAAAACACACAGTAAAAATTATTTGAATGTAGTATAATTTGTAGCATTTTTATGGAAAAGAGTAAGACTAATTTGATTAAGCTAATTTCTACTGATTCAATATATGATACTGAACAGTTTTTATTTACATTCACTTATCTATATTCCTGTACAGCTTGAAATATTATTTGCTTTTTATTACCTGAATTTGAAATCTTTCCATTATTGGCTGTTCCTGCATTTCCAGGGGCGACTAGCACTTGTTTTACATGTGGAGACTGTGCTAACTTCCAAGCCAGAGCATGCTCTCTGCCTCCACTGCCAATCACAAGCACTCGATCTGCCATCAGAGTCCGATGGGAAAAAAACAAAACATATGAATTATGCCCCTAACAGCCACTCATAACTGCATCTAATCTCAGTATAGTTCTCAGCATATAGGTAGTCAAATGACAAAAATACACTTCACACATGGTACTGATTGGCAACAATGTCGGCATAATGGGTGAAAAGATAACATAAGAACATAAGAACGGCCATACTGGGTCAGACCAAAGGTCCATCTAGCCCAGTAGCCTGTCTGCCGACAGTGGCCAGCACCAGGTGCCCCAGAGAGGGTGAACCGAAGACATTGATCAAATGATTTGTCTCCTGCCATCCTTCTCCAGCCTCTGACAAACAGAGGCCAGGGACACCATTTCTATCCCCTGGCTAATAGCCTTTTATGGACCTAACCTCCATGAAATTATCTAGCTTCTCTTTAAACTCTGTTATAGTCCTAGCCTTCACAGCCTCCTCTGGCAAAGAGTTCCAAAGGTTGACTACACGCTGTGTGAAGAAGAACTTTCTTTTATTAGTTCTAAACCTGCTACCCATTAATTTCATTTGCTGTCCTCTAGTTCTTCTATTATGGGAACTAATAAATAACTTTTCTTTACTCGCCCTCTCCACACCACTCATGATTGTATAGACCTCTATCATATCCCCCCTCAGTCTCCTCTTTCCTAAACTGAAAAGTCCCAGTCGCTTTAACCTCTCCTCATATGGGACCCGTTCCAAACCCCCAATCATTTTAGTTGCCCTTTTCTGAACCCTTTCCAAGGCCAAAATATCTTTTTTGAGGTGAGGAGACCACATCTGTACACAGTATTCAAGATGTGGGCGTACCATAGTTTTATACAGGGGCAGTAAGATATTCTGTGTCTTATTTTCTATCCCTTTCTTAATAATTCCTAGCATCCTATTTGCCTTTTTGACTGCCGCTGCACACTGTGGACCAACTGAAGTCAATGGAAGTTTTACCACTAACTTCAGTGTGATCAAGATTTAACCTCTTAAGTATCCAAGTCAAGGTATAGAAACTGAACTACCCACCTACGTCTGATTCCTCCACAGAAGTACTGAGGCACATTGGCAGTGTAGGAAAGCTTTACACAAATGTTGTCTGAAACTTACCTTTACGGTACACTCACTTCAATATGGAGGTTGTCAATTCAGAAACTCATGGGCGGCCACTATGCTAGGCGGGGGAAGGCATTGCCTCTCCAAATTGCCAGCCTAGCCCTGACCACACTCTGCCCCCAGAATGCATTTGGGGGCAGAGTGTTGCTGCCTCCAGCACCCGGCCTCTCTGTGCTCCATGCAGCCCGGAGAGGCTGGAGCAGCCTGCCCTCCCCTGGTGTGAGGCCAAGGAGCCTGGGGGGCGCTCACTCTCCTTTCCTCGGCAAGGAAATGTCTTGGCTCCTGTGGGGCGGGGCCTCAGCAGAAGCTGGGAGTGGGGCTCAGGGCTTGCTTTCCCCAGTCCTACCTTCACTGACTGTTCACACAGAAAATTTAATCAGCTATAAAATTCTCAGATTATTCACGGGGAAATATATAATTTTTAAAAACAGAAATTGTCAAAATATAAAAATCAGTGAGTGTGCTGCACAGACAGAATCATGTGCTGAACAAAATAACTGATGTTTTCCTCACTACGCTGACATTTAAAATTGTTATTTCAATGGGATTGCTTGGAAGATTATTTTTTATTTATTTCAGAAACACTGTAATATGTAATGTATTTTACATTGACAGGTTTAATGTTTCCAGTATGAAATTTAAATGGGCATACCTAAGTATCATTAATAAAAACACTCCCTGACTATGACCTTTAAGATAATGTCCATTGCATAACCAATCCATAGCCACAACATACATAATAAATTAATAACATAATAAAAATGTCAGCTTTCCATTCGACACAGCATTGCTCTTTCTCATGAAAAGATGATCTGAGTGGAATTTATTATATAGTTTATAAACAAAATCAGTGACAATATTGAAAAACAAAAGCATTATGTTTAAGGTCAGCCATTAGTAAACAGTAACCTTTTAGGGAAAAGGTTTTGGTTCCTAGCAGAGATGGTATCAAGATAGACCACACCAATATCAATAAAATAATTACTGGTTATATACAGTTCCAAAATGACTAAGCAGATAAAGCATAATGTTCACTTACTGTTTTATATACCCTCTTTCATGGGACTTTATCGTGAATCTACAAGAAAAAAATACTACTTTATCGAATAAATATTTTCCATCAGTTTTTATAGTAGGAGCACTATACATTAGACACATTAAAAAGATACATTAGATTACTTTGAAATAAAGTTTACTTTGCTCAGCATTTTTTAAAGTTGGGGTCTTCCCTTTTTACTTCATTGTGAAATATTTTTATATATTTCCTCTCCTTTGATCTTAGAAATATCAGAAATGTCAAGTGTGATCTTCCCTGTTGTTGGTAGAAGACATTCCTGGCATGAGTGTGTATGTTACAGTACTGTTTACAGGATGAGAGCTCACAATAAGCAAAAGGTTGAAGTTGATGATATTTAAAAAAAAAACATAATTTATCCCAAATACTCAGTACAGACTGGAATTAAACAGGTGCTAACTAAAAAAGGTTCTTGTTTTTTAATAAACTAAAACCTCTCCCCCACCAATTATTCAGTTTTCAGCCTCTTGACACATCACACTTTCACTAGTTCAGTATAGTAATTCAAGTCAGTTTAGAACAGACCTAAATTTCTAGTTGGGAGTACGGGCAGGGAAAACATACACAAGCAGAACAGTGCATGTTTTCTTTACATAGCTTAAAGAACTCCCCCACAAAAAAGAGTGCTTTTCTCTTCTTCCTCCCCTTCCTTGAAGTCAACTTAAAAGCATCTTGGCTCGAAAGAGAGCTAGGAGAGGAACAGCTCTTACTTCAGAGGTGATGTGATAGAGGACTCCCATCTGAGACACCTTGGACTTACCATATCAGGCACTACTGTTCCACCTACTGATTCCAGAAACTCATCAACCAAATACAACACTTTCTTGCTTCTCCCACTTCAATTTCTCCTGTGTGGTGAGAGCTGATCCCATAAACAAGCTCTAGAGGAGCTAAGCTCTCCAAGCCATAGAGAAGGTCAAAAAGAGGAGCAAGTTCTTACTCTCTCTTGTTTTAGCGGAAGGGGGGGAGCTACCCTTCCTTCCCCCCCCCTTATTTTAAATCCTCTTGGTAATGCAGGGGGGACTCACTCCCCTAAAAACAAAACATTATAAAACAGGATACAGATGTTAAATTGAGTTTAATCAACAAATCGACTAGTCGATGGATTTTCCGTCAATTAGTCAATAAATGGGGGAGCTAACCCCACTGCAGCTCTGCCTTTTAAATGCATTAAACATTTGGGACTGGGTGCAAGCTGGGAATTAGCTGATTCCTAGCTCGCGCCCAGTCCCTGTTACTGCCCTGCATTCCCTACTCCCCGCGAAGACAGTGCTGAGTGGGGAACTGATTTTTAAGACGGCTCCTCTCAGCACCAGATCCTGTTGCCCCACCCCTTGGCAGCAAGGGAGGGGAGAAGCAACTACAGGCAGTCCCCGACTTACGAGGATCCGACTTATGTCGGATCCGCACTTACGAACGGGGCTTTCTCGCCCCGGAGCTCGCAGGCAGCGTCCCGCCACCTCGATCTCCGGGGCGAGAAAAGCTGCTCCCTGTGCCCCTGGTCTGCTGGGGACCGTCTCCAGCAGACCAGGGGCACCGGGAGCAAAGCCTCAGAGGCGCGGCACCCCGCCGCTGCTGTGGCTTTGCTCCCAGTGCCCCTGGGCTGCTGGGGGCCATCTCCCGCAG